AATTGAAAAGATTTCTAAAATGCACAATGTAAATAAAACATATGGTAATCTTTCCATGTTCCTTCAGAATTTTTTCTTTATTTGCTTTTCGGAAACGTTTATCCCAAAGTCATTGTTGTTCGTCCATTGATTTCAATGAAGACCTTGACATCTTGTGGGTTATGGGCCATCAACGATGTGTCCGTAGGTGGCTAATAAGGCCGATGTTAGCACGGAATGTTCTGCCACATACTAAACAGAGAAATGTAGACACTGTTAATTCAGCATTTGCAGCTCTGGCTTTGCGGAGTGCTCGCTTTTCTTGTGCCAAGATTGTCCTTCTGTGTTCATATGTCTGGCAACCCTGGTACACCAAGGTGCGCCATGTCAGTCGATCATGCGCCAGAAGTTCCCAAGAGATGGTGTTAATATCCAGGGACTTAAGAGAAGCTTTTAACGTGTCTTTGTATTGCTTCTTTTGTCCCCCGTGTGATCGCTTTCTTTGAGACAGCTCACCATAGAAGAGCTGTTTAGGGATGTGATGATCTGGCATCCTTACAACATGGCCCACCCAGCGCATCTGGGCTTTCATCAACAGAGTGTAAACTGATGATAGACCTGCTCTGGAAAGGACATCCGTGTCTGGTATCTTATCCTGCCACCGGATCCTCAGAATTCTACGAAGGCAAGTCATGTGGAAGTAGTTCAGCTGCCTAACATGTCTCCTGTACACTGTCCAGGTCTCACTAGCATAAAATAGGGTAGTTAGCACTGCTGCCTGGTAAACTTTAAGCTTGGTAGCAAGACTTATTCCATGGCGGTCCTACACGTTAGTCCGCAATCTGCCAAATGCAGAACTTGCCTTGGCAATTCTACAGTTGACCTCGATGTCAATTGTCACTGCACGGGAGAGGGTACTACCAAGATACGTAAATTGGTCCACTGCTTGCAGCTTTTGTCCCTTTACTGTGATGGTAGGCTCTTGATATTGGGCTTTTGGAGCTGGCTGGTACATCACTTCAGTTTTCTTCGTGTTGATGAAGAGGCCAAAGTTGACACAAGCGGCTGCGAATTTGTCCATGCTGGCTTGCACTTCCTGCTCCGATCCTGCATTAAGGGCACAGTCATCAGCAAAGAGGAGATCTCGTAGCACAGGCTCCTTTACCTTGGTGACAGCCTGAAATCTTCGCAGGTTGAACAGTTTCCCATCGGTTCTGTACCTCAGATTAACTCCCACTTAGCTGTTCTGAAAGGCGTCTGAGAGCATGGCTGAGAACATCTTGCTGAACAGGGTTGGTGCCAGCACGCAGCCTTGCTTAAAGCCATTAGTAACAGGGAAGGCCTCTGAGGCTCCACCGTTACTCAGAACACGAGCCGCCATGCCATCATGGAACTGTCGTACCATCAGAATAAACCTGTCAGGGCACCCAAACTTCAAAATAATGCGCCATAGTCCTTCACGACTAACTGTGTCATTAGAGTAGTAGTGAACAGCACATTAACGAGAGATATCATAGCCTTTTCTGCTGCAGCACCTGTCCTTTGGAATATCCTACCCTCTAGGGCAGGGATTCTCAAACTTGGCCACTTTAAGACTTGTGGACTTCAACTCCCAGAATTCCCCAGCCAGCATGGGGGGGAGGACATGATAGCAGTGTTGCAAAACTCAGGAGCTGCCACAAAGAAGAAGGAGTCAAGCTATTTTCCAAAGTGCCTGAAGGCAGGACAAGAAGCAATGGATTGAAACTAACCAAAGAGAGAAGCAACCTAGAACTAAGGAGAAACTTCCTGACAGTTAGAACAATTATCCAGTGGAACAACCTGCCTCCAGAAGCGGTGAATGCTCCAACACTAGAAGTTTTTAAGATTGGACAACCATTTGTCTGAAATGGTGTAGTGTTACCTGCCTGAGCAGGGGGTTGGACTCGATGACCTCCAAGGTCCCTTCCAACTTTATTATTATTATTATCATTATTATTATTATTATTATTATTATTATTATGATTTAAAGTGGCCAAGTTTGAGGACCCCTCTAGGGCAAGATCTGCCCCCATCTTCCTATCCTTCTGCAAGAGCCTGAAGAACTGGCTCTGCCAATTGGCCTGGGGACCAAATAGGGGAGTTCCACACTGGAGGGAACTGCTAGATTGATGGCAGACTCTCACTCCCACCTCCCTTGCTCTCTGCTCTCCACCATCCATCTATACACCGAGGTGCAGGGAATGCTATCATATTGGTATATTTATTCTCATTGTGTTCCTTTGTCATTGTTTATTTTATTGCTCTATTATTCTGTTTATACGCCTTTCATTTTTCTTTCTTTTTATTACTGTAAGTCGTCTAGAGTAGCCCTACAGTGAGATAGGCAGTGAATAAATTTAATAAATAAATAATAAAATAAATAAGTCACAAGTCACAAAAAAGAAATTATTATTACAGCAAAGGAACTCCGGAAGCTAATAATACAATGAAGCAAGACAAAGGTCTGTTAGGAAGCTACTGAGCGAATCACATGACTATTAGCTTATCAAATGGCATATACTGCATGCGCCACTGCACCTGTTCAAGGATTAAATATAATTTTACAGAATTGTTGCCATATGACAACAATGGCTGCTGTTGTAATTAAAATTGTTTATAGCGATTCACAGGAAATAAAGTGAGAATATCTGAGACAAGAAAAACATTTTGAAAAACTTTGGGGAAAAAAAGAAACAAGAAGACGACTTTGAAATTCTTAACAAAAATCGGAAAAGGAGGCAAATCTTGGGGGGGGGCGATTTTGCCTAGAGCACAAAAATGTCTGTTGCTGGCCTTGGTTCCATTTAGTTCATCGTGACTTACCCTTAGGTATGCAGAATTACAGGTTTACCACATCAATAGCTCTGTTATTTATAATAAATTCTGTGCTTAATTAAAGCTTGAAATCACAAGAAGATACTGTGATCCCAAAATTACATAGGAAGTGGGAAGAATCTTCTCTTTTGTGATTGTTGCAGAAGTTGCATTAGTAAAATTCAAATAAAAGACTTATATATATGTAAGTGTTTGTGTACATGTATATATGGGTGTACATATATGTAAAAAGAAAAATAGAAACCACAGTAGCCCTTAATGAAATTAAAGCCATAATTAAGCATTCAGGGAGACTTCAGTATTTGTATCTCTCATATGATCTATTCATATATTTTATTATTGAAGTTTTAATTGTTTATAATCAAGCCCTTGGAGTAAATGAAAGATAATATAATATCTTTCTCACTGACGTGTGTGTGTGTGTGTGTGTGTGTGTGTGTGTGTGTGTGTGTGTGTAATGCATGCACGCCTCTGAGTCAGTGTTAACTTTTGGTGGCTGCCTGAACTAGTCCCTGCAGTTTAATTGGCAAGATTTTGGAAATGGTTTGCCATTGCCTCCTTCCTAGGGGTTGAGAGAGAGGTTACCCAGATAGCTTTGTACCTAAGATGAAACTAGAACTCTTGGTCTCCTGGTTTATGGACTGGTGAATCTCTATACCAAACTGACTTCTCTTCCCATCCGAGGTATTACGTTATCAAGAATAGACTAAGAGAAATATGTTTGGTAAATGGTAGTCATATGTTTTTGAAATGAATAAACATGGAAATAAATTCAGACAAGATAGTCATATAAGTGTATTAGAAAAATATATATACTTCAATATTTGCACTGGGGTGTCAAACTGCTGGCCCGCGGGCCGGATGTGTCACAAGGAAACCCCGCCCACCCCATTGCTGGCAATGGGGAAAAAGTTCTGATACGTTGCATGACGTCACGTGTCATCGTGAGTTTGACATGTCTGCACTTATATATAGATTTGTAATCATTTATTGTTATAATGAGGTATCATATAACCTGTAAGACACCCAGAGTCATTTTGCAGGGGAGATGGGCAACATAAAAATTTAATAGATAAATAAAATACTATGTTTTGAGAGTCATTTTTTTTTTAGTTTTGTGTTTTAAGATCTTTCTGTGTGTTCTTTTTATTCTTCTCTTTGGGACTATGTATCACTATCACAATTATTTTTCTTTTTTTCTCTTGTTATTAATTTACAAGCAATAAAAATAACATCTTCACCAGTTGCATTCATACATGGCTAATCAATTTCTTGAATTAACTCATCTGCCTGCATTCACAGAATACATGACTGAAATATGGTTGACCATAATTTTATATCAGTTTGTTATAGAAACCCAGCCCTTGTGGATTTTCAAGTTAAAATTGATAATGGAATTTGGAAAAGAAGCATTTTTAAAATTAAATGCAGCTATTTTCAGTATAATTGAGATATTCCCCTTTATTCTGTATTTGGTTTCATTGTTATTATAAAGAGAAATATCCAGATACTTTATGGTTCGCTGTTCTTCATTCTGAAATATATTTTATTCCTAATCAGTTTTATTAAATGATTACCTGTCAGACAAACCTTTGGAAAGACTGCTAAAATATTCTAATCTAAATGCAAGCTGAAATTCACCAGATATCCTAAATTTGTAATAGCAAGAATACTCCCAGAATACCTTGACATTGCTGGTCAACGCCTTTGGTTTTTTTTTTTTTTTTAATCAAGACTGCATCTAACATGATCCTAAAACAATTCAAGGTGCCCAGTGTGGGGCTCTCCTCCTTCTAACTCCATTAGTCGATCGCGTATTCTCAACCTGGGTTCCCAACATAATGTTAGACTACAATTCTCAGGCTGGGCAACGAGTAAAAATATGGGAATTGTATCCCAGTGTTTGGAGACCTCGGGCTGGGAAAGACGGAGATAAACAGAGCTAGATTTCTTACTCCATCCACCTGATCTGTCGAATTTAAGTGCCAGACGGTGAAGCGAAGAACAACTGGCTGCGACGAAGGTTTGATTTGCTATTTGCAAAGTTCCAACAATTTTGATTTTAATTCCATGTATTGGTTGCAGCTTTCGGAGCGCAATAAAGGTGTGGCGGGGCGGGCGGAGGAGGACTGCCTCGAGTGTGGCGGGAGACTTCTTCGTCCCGCCCGTTTTCTCGGGCCGGGCGAGGTTCTGGCACAGCCCAGCCGGTTCCTTCGAGGTTTGGCAGCGCCGCTTAAAGGCGAGAGGCGCGCTCCTATTGGGGCGACGTCCTGGCCTATCAAAGCCCCAACCGCCCTCCCCGACTGCAAAGAGATCCAGGGAACTTGCAGTTGCCCGCACAGGAGCTGCGCGCGAGGTTGCATCCCTCCTCCCCCACCGCCAGCTTGTCTGCCGCCTCGGTTGCTCGCGCGCTCCCTCAGGGTGCTGCTTGCTGGCGCGAGCCTCCCTCGTGCGCTCTGGCGGCGAGTTCCAGTTCGCACTAAGCGCCGACACCTAGCCCTGAGGAGCAGAGCCCCCCGCGAAGGCGGGACGAAAAAAGGCGGCTGGGCTGCCCGGGTTTCGCCGAACCAGGAGACGCGCCAGCCCTTCTTCGGAGACCATTCGGGAGCGGAACGCCAACCCGCGCGACGCCTCTTTTGCTTCCCTTCGCCATGGGGCTTCCCCTGCTGCTGGGTCTGCTGCTTTCCCAAGTCGGTAAATTTGGGGCTGCGGGATTGCCTTCCCTCGTCCCCTTCACGCACGGTTAGTCAGAAGACCCTTCCCTATTGAAGGGAGGGAGTTTTTACTAATTCCTGGGGACTAAAGGGGCTGCGCTGCGCGGGTTGTCGACGTCGCACAGGACCGGGGAATTCTGCTTTTACTCCCCAAAGCTTCCTTTAATCTTCCTCTCCTTATAGGGCAATCGTTTAATTGTGTGTCCCGCCGCGGCTTTTTCTTCCTAGACATCCGATATGATTCTGGACCGATCAGTCTTCTCTTTTTTTTAAAAAAAAAATAAAATTAAATGCTTTCTTGGCTTTCTCACTCCCATTGCAATGAGGGGGGTTTGTTGCAATTCTGGGTACAACCTGTTGGTTGTTAAGACGCTCTACCCCCTGGAGGCTGATTTCAGCCGAGCGTTTTGAGGATCGGGGCCATCAGGCGTCTCTTTTCGAGGCTCGTCCAGATATCTGGTCTGTGCGCGCGCTCTGTATTGTAGTCCAGATTTGCGGGCGAGGAAGCGAAGGGCTCACTGTTGGAGCTTTTCCCACGATTTGCCGGTCACTTGGGGAGGGGGGTGTTCGGGTCCCTAGTTGACCTTATGGCTGGGTGTTGTTGCGGGAAAAGGAGAAGGTGTTGGACGCGCTGCATTGAGCAGGGAGAGGTGGTGGAAATGGAAAATACTCTAGTCACAGTTTTTTGTTCTTAAGAGCAAGCTGAGCTGTTCCGTCCATAAAATCTCGGCAGGTGCCTGCCAAGATTTTTGCAGGCTAGGAAAGAGCAACACTTTTTTTTTCCAGCCAAAGAGCTGTTTACCAGAACGTTGCAGAAGCACTTTTACAACAGGCAACTTATTAACTTATAAATAATAAGAAGAGAATTGTCCTAAATGACATTAAATTAGATAGTAGTGTTTCCAGAATAAAAAATTTGAATCAAAGGATTTTCATTCCCGAGGCTTATATTTTTGGTTTTTGTTTACATTTTGCATGTAATCTTCAAGATTTCCTGTGATATCATACTAGTCAGGGCTGTTTTTCTGAACTGTTCTGAATAAACAAATCTGCTTAGAGCACTAACCTTTGACTACCAGATGTTGAACTGGCTACCAGTATTCTGATGTTGACTTTGGAGGCTTACAATTCAACAATGCCTGGAACCCAGAGATGTCTCATCTTAGATTTCCATTTGAGAAGATTCTTTCATCTAATCTAATATAGACAGTTCATAGATAAGTTAATTCATACTGGCCAATTTAAAAATAACCCATCTATTTAAGTTACTAATAACTCAGGGAAATAAATCACACTATGAATTCAGATATCCTGAACAAGATTTGTAGGGTTCCTATATTTGACAAAATGCAAAAGACAAGTTGATTATATCCAAATTTGGGCATTTGCAACTTGATTCCAAGAAGCAAAGTTTTTCCATTCTTCTCCTCTAGCCTTTTCCTCTCAAATGCTAAATTCAGAATTGGAGATACAGCTTTTTAAGAAAGGTTGTTGTTAATTGCATTTATATTCCATCTTCCTGCTGAAGCAAAAGATGCTATACATAATTTTCTCAACTCCCTTTTACCTTCACAACAATTTTGTGAGGCAGCCCATTATAAGTCACTCCTTATTTATTTAAACATAGTTCATGAATAAGCTACAAGAAAGATATTACTTTTTAAGCCCATAGTGACTGAACTTACATATTGTATTATGTGAAACAGACCAAGTAGATAATGACTTAGGAAAAGATGTGAACCAATGAATGACCAGCCTCAGGTCATCTTCTTGGCTGAATGGGAATCTGAATTTCATTGTCCCAACATTGCTGGAATTCTCTAACTAGATGCTTTAACTACTTGAGCTGAAGAATACATATGGTAGTTCTTCAGTTCTTGATGAAGAACTACATATTTGGTTGGAATTATTTCCTGTTTCCTAGCTGGCTGGGAACAACTAGGATATGAGGCAGCCTTTTTCTTCCAACTGTTGGTTTAGAAGGGTGTTGTCTCTGTTCATGGAGGTACTGAATAGAATAGAATAGAATAGAATAGAATAGAATAGAATAGAATAGAATAGAATAGAATAGAATAGAATAGAATAGAATAGAGTAGAATAGAATAGAATAGAGCTGGAAGGGACCTTGGAAGTCTTCTAGTCCAGCCCCCTGCTCAAGCAGGAGAACCTATACCATCTCAGACAAGTGACTGTCCAGCCTTCTCTTAAAAATCTCCAGTGATGGAGCGCCCATGATTTCTGGAGGCAAGCTGTTCCATTGGTTAATTGTTCTCACTGTCAGGAAGTTTCTCCTTAATTCCAGGTTGCTTCTCTCTTTGTTTAGTTTCCAAACATTGTTTCTTGTCCTGTTCTCTGGTGCTTTGGTGAATAACGTGACCCCTTCTTCCTTGTGGCAGCCCCTCAGGTACTGGAATACTGCTATTAATGTCTCTCCTATTTCTTCTTTTCTTTAGGCTAGCCAGATCCAAGTCCTGCAGCCGTTCTTTGTATGTTTTAGTCTTCAGGCCTTTATACTATATAACCATCAAGATGAATACATTGCAATAATAGTAATTTTAAAAAAAAGAATTAATGGCAAAATGCATTGTCGCCTCTTCCCTGCGTTCTGCCACTGACTATGGCTAGGTTCTCACATCATACTAAATCAAACCCCCCAAACAATATGTGGCTATACCATGCAGTTTGAACCTAATATTTATGTACAAAACAATTTGATCTAACGTTAAGTCTGTTAACATTTTTTTTCTGTGCTAAACTCCTGGAAGGAATCACAGTTATGACTTTTCTAGGTGCTTCTGGAAGAGCATTAAAATGATATAATTGTTAAAAATATATATATTTTTTACTTCTATACATTGCACATATAGTGAGAAACAGTTAAAAAGGTAAAGGTTTCCCTTGTCCAGTCGTGTCAGACTCTAGGGGGCAGTGCTCATCCCCATTTCTCAGACAAGGGAACCAGCGGTGTCTGAAGACATTTCCATAGTCATGTGTTGGCATGACTAAATGCCGAGGCTCATAGAACGCTGTTACCTTCCCACTAAAATGATATCTATTTCTCTATTTGCATTTGAAAAAAAAAACAATTATTCTCTCCTTATAAACTTTGCCATTTCTTTGAAGTGTTTATGTTACTTTTTATGTTATTTGTTGTTAGTCATCCCAGATCAGACTCATGGCATGTGGTAAATTAGAGGTATAAAGGCTGATGAAACAGGTTGGAGGTATCATTGTTCAATGAAGAAAGTCTCTGCTAAAAAAGTACACCGTCCAGTGTTATCAGATATATTCTCGGTGACTGACAAATCCAAGGTTATTTCCAAAATAGCTTAATGTATCTTTAAACAATTGCAGAAGTATCTTTTAATACATTAATTCAGTTTCTACAGATGTTCCAATCTCTTCAGATTATCATTATTTTTCCTTTATATGTATACGTGCAACATATAGAATCAAGATATTCAAGTGATCTCTTTTGGGAATTCCAACATTACAAAATATTGTATTCTAATTATTAAGTTGAGTTCAGTTGGGTAGATTAAGAATCAAAATCTAAAGTATAAAATAAAGTATAGCATGTAGATTAAATGAGATAAAAATAGAAAATAATAATATAAAATACAGAAGTAAGAGGCTTTTTTATTGAATCAATCTTATAGAGAGGTTTGAATGGCATTTAAAATCTCTTACTTAAATCTGCCTGGTAGTATGAACTCCAGTGTGAAGGAATTGTTTGAGAAACAATGCTATGGGCATATTTGAGGAACAGAAATATATCATGAACTAATCACATGCAAGTTCCAAATTAAGCTAGAGCAGAAGAATAAAGCCAGTCAGTTTCTATGTGGTAGTTATTTCCATACGATTTTGAGCATATATCCACTATTTTCAAGGGCAACTTCAGGAATTAATTCAAAACCTGAAAGTTATATAGGGGAGTAGAAGAACTGTGGAATGAAATCAAAAAAGTTGTTAAAGTTGAATACGAAAAGAAACAATCAAAGACCAAGAAACAGAAAAAAGCAAACTGGATGTTAGATTAAACAGTGGAAATTGCCAATAAGAGAAAAGAAGCCAATCCAAGAAAGACAGGAAGGGACTTGTTTAAGGAATTTGAGACAGCTGTTTGAAGAGACAAAGAGCAATATTGCAACATTGCTAAATATATTGATATAGAGAGGGAAAATTAAGGAAAGTCTTTCAAAAGATTTCTAAGCTTAGAAGGAGATGCCAGCTTTCTAAAGAATGAAATGTTAAAGGATGCCAGTAGGCAGATAGAAACTGATTCTGAGAAGATCAAACAAAAATAGAGGGAGTATAATAAAATCCAATACAGTAGAGATGCCTGCATCCAAGGTATCTTAGAAGACATTCCACAATCACAAGAAATTCAGTAAAGGTTCTGACCAAACAGTGTCAACAAATCTGAAGAATGCTATAGTAACCAGCAGAGTGGAAAAGATCAGTCTGTATACCAATGCCAAATCCTTCATTTTTCATATGCCAGCAACCTAATGCTTAGGGTCATCCAATGCAAATTACAGCTCTCCATGCAATTAGAGGTGCCAGATGTCCAAACTGGTTTTATAAAAAGCAAAGTAATAAGAAAAATTATAGCTGGATAACTGAGAAAGCAAAGAAAAATAAAAAATAAGTCAGTATATGCTCCATGAAAACAAAGCTTAGAATTTGAAGAAACAAAGAATGGAAAGAATATTGATATTTTTATACTTTATTAGTGGAGGCAATTCTTGAGACAATCACAGCTTGCCCAAGACAAACAAACAGATGAATCCAATAAAAGAATATTTATAGCTCAGTGTTGAAATCAGGGGGTCTTGGTGCTTTCTGATCTGGTGGTTTTCTTGCAGACATTTCATTACCCCAAAATAGGTAGCATCTTCAGTGGTAGTCTAAAAGATGAATAATAGAATAAATAAATTCAGAGTTCTTGTGGCACAAATGACCAGATTAGGAGTATCGTATTTTGGACAAATTACACAAACACCTAACACTCTGAAGAAATAT